CCAATGGGGAGGACAACCGGCAAGGTTGAGGGAAAGTGAGTTTCGATTAGAGAGAGGGGGGTGATAAGGGGTACTGCGAGGGAGGAGGGAAAGCGGGAGAGACAACTGAGTTGGCGGAAGTTGGGAGACCCACTAGTGATGCCAGGACATTAATACGAAGCCCATCAGGGAAAGAAAAGAACCAGCGAAATGGGAATAAGTAGAGTTCAGATTAGTGGTTGTGTTTGTGTTTTCACCTTTTCAGGGAACGTAGTGTGCATTGGGTTCTTGAGAGGGCTGAAGTACCAAATCATTTCTTGTGTTGTTGAGATTGGAGAACGAATAATTGCTTGTTTTCCTGATCGGTACTTTCTGAAAATGGTTTTCCAAGTTCAGAGTCTTTCGATCAGTATTGCTCCGGTGGAATTTTTTGCGTCCCTAAATTGAAAATTCATGGGTTACAAATTATTTTTTAATATTTTTATTGCTGCCACTTTTCAAGACTCGTTCCTTGGCAACATGGATCGAACGGAGAGAGAATCAGAGACCGACTGTCTGCTACCACTTTTTTGGTGTCTGTTTCTTTTTTTTTACGCAGTGTATTCGAGGGCTTTTATAAACTGCCATTCCTGAGTCGCTTGAATTTTGTCAAAGTTCAAACAAATTGTTAAACGAACAAGCAGTCCTTTGATACAAATCAAAACGCTGAGAAATCATAAATGCAATTATGGGTATTAGTGGGTATAAATTTTTACTATTAACCTTTTTGTTTTTGTTCTTTAACTACTTTTTGAACTGTGTGATTTCACTGATTTGATGATAAATATGCCCTACTCTGTCGCGATGGGATATTCCAGTTCTGGAAGGCACAATCTGCAATGGCAGAGGTTCACCCTTGTGAGCGCCTAACGGAAGGAGGGGGGGGGGGGGGGGGTGTAAGGGAGCTGTAGTTTCTGTTTGTTTGGCTACAGGGTGTGGAGGTATCCACCAACGGGTGCGTTTAAAAAAAGAAAAAAAAGAAAGAAGGGTGTGGAGGT